TGTTTAAACGTACAAGCGTGCTTAGAGTGAGTTTAGAGTCTGGTGTGAAGAATGTTGTCAAAATGTTTAAACATACCAGCGTGTTTAGAGTCTGGTGAGAAGGGTGTTATCAAGATGTTTAAACATACCAGCGTGTTTAGAGTGAGTTTATTCTGGTGATAAGAGTGTTATCAAGATATTTAAACGTACCAGCGTGTTTAGAGTGAGTTTAATCTGGTGATAAGAGTGTTATCAAGATGTTTAAACATACCAGCGTGTTTAGAGTGAGTTTAAAGTCTGGTGATAAGAGTGTTATCAAGATATTTAAACGTATCAGCGTGTTTAGAGTGAGTTTAATCTGGTGATAAGATTGTTGTCAAGATGTTTAAACGTGCCAGCGTGTTTAGAGTGAGTTTAAAGTCTGGTGATAAGAGTGTTATCAAAATGTTTAAACGTGCCAGTGAGTTTAGAATCTGGTGAGAAGAGTGTTGCCAAGATGTTTAAACGTACCAGCGTGTTTACTGAGTTTAGAATCTGGTGATAAGAGTATTATCAAGATGTTTAAACATACCAGCGTGTTTAGAGTGAGTTTAAAGTCTGGTGATAAGAGTGTTATCAAGATGTTTAAACGTGCCAGTGAGTTTAGAATCTGGTGAGAAGAGTGTTGCCAAGATGTTTAAATGTTTTTATGTCTAGAAGTTGAAGTTAATTCTTTCACTTTTCTTGAACATGTTTCCTAAGGAATAAGGCATGTTTTTTGTTAGTTTGTTTTTTATTCACCGTGGGGCAGATCGCAGAAAAAGAAACAAACATAACTGAACTACATTAAGCTTTTACTAATGAGAAGAATTCAGTCTTTAGTTGCAACATTTACTTCAAAAAATTATTGTATCTTAATGAACTTAAATTTAGTTTTTCATGTCGCCACATTTGTGAGAGTAAATAAACTAGGAAAGTGACATCTGTTAAACCTTGCATAGCCAAATAATCAAACATACTGAGTAAGTTACAATTTTTCCTAGCGGAAAAAACGACGGCGAAAGGCCTTGATATTATTCTTTCAGAGCTTACATGTTGATAAACAGATGACTTTAATACACCAGTGACTTGATCCATTGTTAGCTTGTTGCAATATAAACATGACACATAATTAACAACTGTGCTGAAATTTGAAATGTACATTTCCTGCGAAATGGGATACTTTACTCCCACTGCTACTGAAACAAATAAGTCATGACATACAGAAGTCATAGCGAGTGGAACTGTTTATAGTTAGTCCACATAAAATGTTTACATCATATACAGTTTGATAAAAATAAATGATGTGATAGAGTTTAGAACGTGGTATTCAGACCAGTAAGCCTACTTAGAGCAGGTGAACTAGAACAAAAAATAGTTATGATGTGTTGTGCTGAAGGAGCTGAATTCTAAAACATTTGACTGGAGGACACTAGTCTGGAAGGCAGTAACTGAATTCTAAAACACTGGACTGGACGACACTAGTCTGGAAGGTAGTAACTGGATTCTAAAACATTTGACTGGAGGACACTAGTCTGGAAGGCAGTAACTGAATTCTGAAACACTTGACTGGAGGACACTAGTCTGGAAGGCAGTAACTGAATTCTGAAACACTTGACTAGAGGACGCCAGTGGAATTCTGAAACACTCGACTGGACGACACTAGTCTGGAAGGCAGTAACTGGATTCTGAAACACTTGACTGGAGGACGCCAGTGGAATTCTGAAACACTCGACTGGACGACACTAGTCTGGAAGGCAGTAACTGGTTTCTGAAACACTTGACTGGAAAACAGTCTAAGTAAACACAGGGAAACTAGCATAAAAGAAAAAATAATTCCTTAATGCAAGCTGGAGGATTATTGAACTCTGGATCACCGATTACTGAAACACAAGACACATCTGAGTTTGACAAGGAAACTCCTACAATACAAACCACTAAACAAACAAACTACTAAAACACTAGACAGAGAGACAAAAGAAAGCTAAGAAAATAGTCTGAATGAGACGAAAACCGTCTGCAACACCTGTCAAAAGTTATTAAGTTTTCCACTACAGCTGGAATTTTAACTTTCAGCTCAAAAGCACCTAATACTAAACATGGATTAAATGGCTATTTCAGAAACCCCTGTAGCTCATACAAAGCTGTTCTTAATGTTGAACTACTGGCCAGAAGGAGAGCAGGTTGAGTCCGGCTCTTTGAATCCAATAACAGAATTGACTGTAACTTTTATAACAAGCTAACAGCTGAAAGTACGGAGCATGTAAAACGGCATTACGTCTCGAACCTTGGACCGTGAAATTAGCACGCCAATTACTTGGCCATACTCGGTCCTCCTTCAAAGTTGACAGTCAAATATTATTTTTTTTATTCTGCATATTTCTACTACGAAGAACCAATTAATCAACTATCTGTGTATACTTATACCAATTGATCAACCATCTCTGTATACCAACTGATCAACCATTTGCATATACCAGTTGATCAACCATCTCTGTATACCAATTAATCAATCATCTCTGTATACCAACTGATCAACCATTTGTGTATACCAATTGATCAACTATGTGTGTATACCAATTGATCAACTATGTTTGTATACCAACTAATAAACCATCTCTGTATACCAACTGATCAACCATATCTTTATATCAACTGATCAACCATATCTGTATATCAACTGATCAACCATCTCTATATACTAGTTCATCAACCCCATCTGTATACCAACTGATCAACCATCTCTATATACTAGTTGATCAATTAGTCAGACCTACTGACCTTCATTATGAGATGCTGCTCTATTTCTGTCCTGCCTCTCTTACTCTTTTTCTGGTTCTCTTTGACTGGATCTGGAAGGATAATGGATAAAGGATGGTAATATATGTCTTGTTTGGTTCCTTGAATCAAACAACCTCCTCTCACAAACCCAATGTAGTTTTCGTCGACAGCGTTCCACCGGGATCACCTGATTCGTCTCGAAACTTCAATCAGGGAAGCCTTCCTCAAGAGAGAGCATCTTGTTTTTGTCTTCTTTTATCTTGAGAAGGCATATGACATTGCATGGAGGTTTGATATTTTGTGGGACTTCCATTCATATGGGTTGCGTGGCTATTTATCCATTTTTATTCACAACTTTTTACAAAACTGGAGTTTCCTCTTGGGGAGTGGATCGATGTTCTATGTTGAGGATCTATTGTACCCTCATATGTACCGAGCTGAACTATGGGTATCTGATCTATAGTTCTGCCAGACCCTCTGCCTTGAATATGTTGGTCCCTGTACACCATCTGGGGCTTCGGCTTTGCACGGGGGCTTTCCGCACTTTTCCAGTCCAGAGTTTGTACATAGAATTCCAAGAACCTCCGCTTCACCTCCACCATTTGCAATTTTCTTTACAATATGCTACCATGCTTCGATCCTTACCACAGCATCCTACCTGGAGTTATGTCTTCTTTCCTCGGTGGGCTGTGCTCTTTTGAAATACACAATCTGTCATTCTTCCTTTTGCTCTTCATATCCAGCCACAGTTGGCTGAATTGTGTCTGTCATTGGATGAAGATACTGAGTCCGATGATCAACCAATCCCGCCATGGCTCGTTACCACCCCACCTGTGACCTTTCTTTGAGTCATCTGAGGACGGTGGATCCTCTTGGTTGGAATTACTGTCTTCTCTTTGCCGAACATCTTTTAAATCATTCTTCTGTTCCAGTTTTTTACCGATGGTTCGAAGTCAGGTGACTCTGTGGGCTCTGCTATGGTTTGTTGTGGCTAGGTGGTTGCTCACAGAATCCCCTCTACAGTTTCTGTGTTCACTGCCGAGTTATATGCCATTTTTCTTGCCCTAGATTACGTAGAAGCTAAGCAATACACTAACTGTACTGTTTACACTGACTCTCTTAGCTCTCTGGCCCTGTAATCGCTTAATGTTAGTTCTCACCCTCTTCTCGTCGCTATTCAGAAACGAATGGCCCACTTTTCACTGTCTTCTGGCTCTATCCGGTTTTTCTGGATTCTGGCCATGTTGGTAATCGCAGGAATAAGCTTGCTGACATCGCAGCTAAGTCCGTATGCTCTGGTGCTCGCAGAGCCACGCCTATCCCGTTTATGGATTATGGTCGTGTGATCAAGGCCCGGCTTTGCGCCAGTTGGCAGTCGACTTTTCCAGGTCAAACTTGGTGTTGTTTTTTGGCCGTCTAGTTTCCGTATTGGTCACAGTATTTTTACCAATCGTTTTATTATATGTGGGACTGATCCCGCAATCTGTGGCCTTTGTGACACTTTTTACTTTCGTGGCACCGTTACGGACGTCAGTGGCGGCAGAAGTTCAGACATGCATTTTCTACGGGTTTCCCCTGACGTTGGACGATGCCATTGGTGATGGTTACACTGTCCAGCTCGATTGTGATTTCAGTTTTTTACCGGCCATGGGCCTTTTTACTTCTATTTCGATTTTTACTAAATTTTTGGGCTTTGCTTCTTTTTCAGTTATTTCCTTTTTACATTTTATTGTATTTCACTTGCAGCTTTTTTACTGGTTGTTTGGTGCAGATAGCCCAGTTGCTTTGTGCCAATAAAAGTCAAATAACCAAACAACTTTTCCTACTAGAAGTAACTCGTAGATGTAAATCCTGGTGTTTAAAGTATCACGAAACCCAATAAAAATGTGTGTTTTAAACTTATTTACACTCATTAGAGAAGTACTAATTCTAAAGCTCAGGCGGTCGATGGTTACACCTACAAAATGTTGCTACAGTCGATGGTTACACCTATAAAGAAATTTTACTGTAGATTCAGTCGATGGTTACACCTATAAAGAAATGTTACTATATATTGAGTTGATGGTTACACTTATAAAGGCTGTAAAAATTAGTTTGTATTATATATATAAATAACTTTATGATGTTACACACATCTAGTGATTTAGTAAAAGTTTTATAAAATAACTTTGAAATATAAATTTTTTTCTGTATCCATTTTATTGAATGTCCTTTTTCTCCAGGTAATGGTTACATTGAGGACAGAGAGCTGGACAATTTCTTGACAGAGTTCGTTTCCAGCGTTAATGTGGCAGACGTTGGTCCTGAGGTAGGTGATTTTTAACACACGCACGTATTGTTTTTGTGAGATTTCTTTAACATATTTTTATAGGGGGTCTTTGACAAAGAGTATTTTGCAAAACATATTATAGTATTTGTTTCTTTCAACTGCTCCCCGGTGGCTCCGCGGTAAGTCTGAGGGCTCATAACGCTAAAAATACTCTTGGTGACCACAGATAGCCCATTGTATAGTCTTGTGATTACAAAAAAATACATTCTTTTAACCCTAGATTTAAAAAAAAGTAAAATAGAATACAGTGGCCATAAATTTAATCCCACTAATTACTGCTGATGGTTTCCTATGTATTGTACACACTAATTACTGTTAAGGGTTTCCGGTGTATTTTACACACTAATTACTACTGAGGGTTTCCTGTGTATTATACACACTAATTACTACTGAGGGTTTCTTGTGTATTGTTCACACTAATTACTACTGAGGGTTTCCTATATTTTGTACACACTAATTACTGCTGAGGATTTCTTGTGTATTGTACACACTAATTACTGCTGAGGATTTCTTGTGTATTGTTCACACTAATTACTACTGACAGTTTCTTATGTATTGTACAGACTAATTACTGCTGAAACAATACACAAGAAACCACACGAATTACTGCTGACAGTTTCTTGTGTATTGTACACACTATACACACAAATTACTGCTGAGGTTTCTTATGTATTGTACATAGAAAATGAATGATTTCACCTACTTTTTCCATCAGTTCTTTACACTCTGTTTTATAAAATTACTCAATATGGTGCAGTAGCAAGGTTAAAATTTCCAATAAAAATCTTCTTTGCCCTCATTTCCTCAAATTACTGGCAACTGAAAATCTTTTTTTTTACGCCAGATTTATTTTGGTCCTAACGTAAAGTGACTCTAATGGTTCTGTATTAATAACGTCTCTTATCTAGTTCCCCTGCTGACAATGGTTAACGTCGTGACTTTCTATTGGTCAGTTTTGTTGCTGGTCGCGCTGGATTGAAATCAACTCATGCGTTTTCAGGGAAATTTCTCAAAACACATATTGAATTCTGTAACAAGATGAAAACCATAAAGAAACTACAGTTATCTTTTTTCAGATAGTTTTACAGATTAAGTCTATCTTACAAAGTTTCCTACAGTTTAAAAGTATCATATTTGATTTCCTTATAGTTTAAAAAACTACCATACATGGTTTTCTTAAATTTAAAAAACTACTTTACATGTTTATTTACAGTTAAAAAAGTCACATATTTGCCTACAGCATAAAAACTTACTTAAAAATTTCCTTACAGTTTAACAATTATCTTACAGAGTTTCCTTATAGTTCAAAACTACCTTACATAGTTTCCTACAGTTTCAAAACTACATTTTTTTACTTTCCTTATAGCTTAAACACTACCTTGAATAATTTTACTTTTAATAAAGTTTTATTTACCTAGTATTGCGTTTAACCAGGTTAACCTAGCGTCATCAAATACAACCACTACAATGTGAAAATTAGTAACCTAGGAAACAATGCAAACTAACGGATGCGTACGTTGGTAGTTGATTGGCTGGTGAAGCAGAAACCCGCTGTTGCTCGAAGTGTCAGAATAACATTGCGACATTTAACCCACTGAGATTATGTATTCATCGAGCACTGTTGAGCTTGTTCAAGCCTACAAGATGTTTGTATGTTGTACATATTTTGCCTTTTTATTTATTTTTGGTTGGATTATTTATTGTTAGAGACTACTTTTAACCACTTTTTCTGATAAATACGGATTACAACCAGGGGCGTATCTACGGAAAATAGCGCC